CGTTAGCTCAGAGCACGGGGCGACCACGAGGCGACCACGAGGCGGAAGCACGGCGCAACCTGGGCACACACACACACATCCACACACGCACGCACGCACGTGCGAGCACACGCACGCACGTGCACACGCACGTGCACGCACACGCACGCACGTGCACACGCACGCGCACACACGCGCGCGCACACACGCGCACCCCCAACGAACGGGGGAGGGGGAGGGGGAGGAGGAGGAGGAGGAGGAGGAGGAGGAGGAGGAGGAGGAGGAGGAGGAGGAGGAGGAGGAGGAGGACACCTCTCGGCACGACCCCCCACGCGCGGGGCGCCCACGCGGCGCCCACGAGACGGCACGGGCCGCAGCGTGGCGAACAAAAGCACTGCACACCAGCTGCTCAGATTCAACGACGAGGAGCAGAGCCCCTGCAGGGCAGGTTTTAATACATAGGTTTTTTAACTTATAGGAATTTGAATATATGATTGACGTATGGCAAAATCAATGCGCAAGCTCATCCTTGTATTTATTAATCAACCCTTTATCGTTAATACATGGTCCGCACGCGGAGCATGTATTAAAACCGGCGCTGTACGTGTAAGCTCTGCTTGGGGAAAAGCACGTGGTCTGAATGACTATCAGCACGAGGCCGTTTTTTTAATCGGCGATAGCCCGGGTTATCCCAGGGGAGGGGGAGGGGAGGAGGGGGCCGGCCGATGACCTAACCCTCGCGCTGTGGGCAACCCTGCGTATGCCCGCGCCCCCCCTCCCGCGGACCTGCACAACCAGCAAGGTTAGATTATCCGGGGGGGAGGGGAACGAGGTTATCCTGCACAACCGGCAAGGTTAGGTTATCCTGCACAACCGGCGAGGGGGGGAAGGGAGCGAGGTTAGGTCATCCGCGGATCTGCACAACCGGCAAGGTTAGGTTATCCTGCACAACCGGCAAGGTTAGGTTATCCTGGGGGGGCAAAGGAGCGCAAGCCCGATAACCCGGGCTATAACCCGACCCGAAAAAAAAGCAGCCTCCATGTTGAGGCCGGGCGGCCCGCTCCCGGCGCGCTCCGCGCCCCGGGGGGCGGCGCGGAAGGCGCAGCCAGGAGGGCCCAATGCCGACCCAAGGGCTCCGCACCTCCAGAAGCTGGTGCAGATGCTCCTTCTCCTCCTCTGATGCAGAAGCTGATGCAGATGCTGATGGAGGAGGAGGAGGAGGAGGAGGAGGAGGAGAAGGAGGGCCCGATGCCGACCCAAGGGCTCCGCACCTCCAGAAGCTGGTGCAGATGTTTCTTCCGCGAGAGGCGGGGCTGGGATCGGCGCGGAGGGCGCGAAGGAGACAGGGAGGTTACCAGCGGATGCAAAGGTGATTCATATCTGGCCTGCCCTACCTTATAGGCGGGCTGCAAATGCCCCAAGTGTTTTTGTTGAGAATGGGGGATGGGTAACTCCGCTGAGTGGGCGGAGCGCACTTGGCGCGGATCGTTAACCCCTCGAAGTGAGGGGCAACGATAGGGGGAAGTTGCGTAGGGGGGGGATGCATCAACCTGAAATCGGCGATACATCGCCGATAGATCGGCGATAAGCCCCCTCTAGCGAATCCGAACCTTCCTGGGCGGGTTGGGGCTATCGGGCCCCTATCGGCGATCAATGGGCGATTGGGGGTCGATGCAGCCCCCCCTATGCCTGTCCCCCCGATCGTTACCCCTGATAAAGCCAATTGAGGATCCTGCTACTCACTGTTAAGCTAGGTATAACCCAGCTTGGCATCCACTGATAACCCCTTATGTCCTCTTAAGCAATCCCCTCGCCGATCCAAGGAGAAGGGAACTCTGCCTCTTCCACTCCTTCTCCTTGCATTGCTCCAGGCTCTGAGACATGGACGATCAAGAGCGCTGCGTCTCTCCGTCGGCGGTCCACCAAACTCTCCTGCACCTCCTCTACCTTCTGCCTACTCCGACATACCCTTGCTGATACCTCTTCCTCCTCCACCTCCTGCCTCTTCGTCCTCCTCCTCCTCCTCCTTCTCCTGATCCTCCTCCGTATCCTCCTCATTCCGATCCTCCTCCCGTCAAGGTTGATGATTCGACATGTACCGAGACCCCCCCCCTCCGAGCCCATCAGAAAACAGAATACGCCAAGAACCTCTTCTTCTCAGGAACGCCTCCGTGAGATTGTCGGACTCCGCCGCAGACCTGCAGGACCATCCGCAAGCCTCCAGAAACCTCCGAGCATCCCGGGGTGGCATGCCAAGCCTCCAGAAAACCTGCAAGAAGGGCAGCCGAAACCCTCCGAGAGCCTCTGGACCCACGCGCCCCTGATCGTATTCAGACCATACCCTTGGCCTCCAGGCGGCAATTTGGGACGACCTGGGCACCCGCAGAACACCCTCGGCGAGGCGCAGATGCTGGAGAGCATCCCTGAAGCGAAAAAGCTGCGATAATCGACGAAGACGTCCGAAAACCTTTCGTCCGACCCTATCTTCGAGAGCCTCGGGACACCCCAACCCCGACCGAGAACCGACGTAGCGAACAAACATTCAAGGTGACAAATCACGTACCAAAGCCCGGGCGAAATGCCCAGCTCGGGAAAAGCACAGTCGGGCCGCTGAAGTAAGAAACGAAGCCCCTTTTTGGCACCAGATGCGCCTGCGTTCACGAAAGAGACTAAGAGGAACAGCCAAGGAAGGACTCAAGGCACATGAAGCCCCCTCCGGACCCAATCGGTTCCATATTTCAGCGTCCTTACTATCGACTTAGGTCGGGCATGTCCCCCTACAGGCGGATTTTGAACAAAAAATAACAAATGGTCAAGACATACTCCAAGATGGTCAAGACTAGTGAGACAATCGTCCCCAGACTATTGCTTGACTCTTTTTGAATATTCCTTCTGTGGAGAGACGGGCCCGACTCAATTACAGACGCAGAATCTCCGGATCTTCGAAGCCCCCCCCCCTGTCGGCCCACTCCCTTGCGGGCGTCGACCGTCGTGGACGGACACGATCCCCCGTGGCGATGCGGCATCCAAGGGCCAGCTGCGCTCGCGTTCCGCGCCTCGCGCTGCGCGGATGACCCCGCGCCCTCGCGCCGCCCCGCCAAGCCGAGGCCGAGGAGGATGAAGATGAGGAATCACGAACCGGGGACGGCGGTTAAAAACCTCGACTAGAGGGCTCCTAGATGGGGTCGAGATGGGGTCGAAGGACCGAGCCGCATCGCCGATACATCGGCGATACATCGGCGATGCATCGGCGATGCAGCGGCGATGAGGCGTCGACGCGGGCGATGCATCGGCGACGTCGGCGTGAAGGAAATCGGGCTCCACATCGAGCTGCATCGGCGATGAATCGGCGATGCGGCGCGATCATCCGACCCCATCTAGGAGGCCTAGATTGACGATCACAAACGCAGCATCGATCTTCGATAACAGTCGCTGCACCAGGGGGGTGGGGCGGGGTGGGGCCCGTCCCGGGGCGGTGTGGGGGGGGCACGTCCGGGGAGCGCTGCCATCGCCGCAGTTTGCAAGCGCAATCACGTGGAAGGGGGGGGCCAAGCCCTCCCCCACCCGCGCGTAAGACCGCTACGCACGCGCCACAAGATGACCTCCCCGAGGGCTTCTTCTGACGAGGATTTCTTTGGGTGGCCCAAGAGGAGGTCCAACTGAAAAGGGGGTGGTGCAATAGATTTGGGGCCATTGTATTGCAAATGTACTGCGCCCGAGAATTGCATTGCATTGTATTGCAAATCATGCATTGCACGCGAAAGTCCAGCGATAGATTTTCGCCCTGGAATATATATATATATATATATATATATATATATAGACCTCCCCGAGGGCTTCTTCTGACGAGGATTTCTTTGGGTGGCCCAAGAGGAGGTCCAACTGAAAAGGGGGTGGTGCAATAGATTTGGGGCCATTGTATTGCAAATGTACTGCGCCCGAGAATTGCATTGCATTGTATTGCAAATCATGCATTGCACGCGAAAGTCCAGCGATAGATTTTCGCCCTGGAATATATATATATATATATATATATATATATATACTGCACCACCCAACTCCACAAATTTATTGCGCCAAATCTATTGCACCGCACCCTCGTCGCTGGATCCCCTTTTGGGTCAACCCGAATGTCGAGGCGAATCCAGCCGTGGCGACGAGGGCCACCCGGGCGCCCCCCGAAAACATGTGCCAGTGGGGCAAAAACTCCAGACAAACTCGCCGCGGGCCGCGCGCGAGGCCTCGACGCTCGGCGGCGACGACCCTCAAGTCGGGCCTGTCCCTCTACGGGAAGAAAATCAACAAAAATACTAAAAACAGGACGATGTCCTCTCCCATGCCTGTCCTCCTCTGGTCCTCCTCCCCAGGGGGGGGGGTCCCAGGGGGGAGTCCTTTTCCTCCTCCTCCTCCTCCTCCATATCTCCGCCTCCTCCTCCTCTTTCTCCTCCTCCTCTATGCCAGTATTCTGCCTCGTCGTCGATGCCTGGTATTCTTTCTTCCCCCGCGCACCAGTGGTGTCGGCGTCGCACGACCAGCCTCCCACTCCGCCCGACCACAATTTCGGCGTCGCACCTTCCCAGCCCCGTCCGCACCCCCCACCACCCCCTCCCCTCCGCCCCGACCATTTTATTTCGGCGTCGCACGGCCCCCACCGTCCCGCCCCCACGATCGTTCTCCCCTCCCCGCCCACCCAGTGCACCCCGCTCCCCCTCCGCCCTGACCATTTTATTTCTGCGTCGCACCGCCCCCGCCGCCCCCGCCGCCCGTCGCTCCCTCCGTTTCCTGTCCCCCTCTCTCCCCCCCTTTCCCCTCCTCCTCATTCTCCTCCTCTTCCTCCTCCTCCTCTTCCTCCTCCTACTCCTCCTCAACCTCCTCCTCCTCCTCCTCCTCCTCCTCCTCCTCCTCTTCCTCCTTCCCCCTCCGTTTTGTGCAAGAGCCATGGCACGCTTGCCATTTGTTTTTTCGTTAAAAAATCACCCCGTAGGAGGACAGGCCCGACCTGAGACGACCCTCGGGGAGACCTTGACGATCAGGAACGCCGCGTCGATCCAGTGGCGGTCCACCATGCCCTCCTTCGGGCCGGGCGAAAGGGGGGGATAGCACAGGGGGGGTTTGAGAATCAGCTCACGCAGCTGCTGTTCCCGGCGCCCCCCGGCGCCGGAGGCGCCCATGTATCGAGGAATGGGCCCGGCGGCGGGGCCGAAACCAGCTGCATGTTTCGTGCCCCCCCTTTCCGTATCCCCCCTTTCGTTCGGTCCGACTCCTGCAGCGGTCCGGGGAAGAGCCGGAGCTGGCGCCGGAGGTCCTCCGAGAAGTCCCTGTCGGCGGCGGGGGGACGGCGCTCGCGAGGGGGACGAGGCGGTGCTTGGCCTCGAGAGCCCCCAACGGGGCTCGACCCAACAATGGTTTTTCGTTTTCGTCTGTGTTCATTGTCCTTCGCTTTTTGTCTTCATCCCGCTTCTGCTGCTGAACGATATCAAAACGAGAACGGTCCACGAGATCGGCAAAGCACGATTCAGATCGAGCCCTGGCTTTCAAGGGGCCTCCCAGAAAACTCAGGAGGTCCCCGAAAGGCCCGAATCAAGCCGCAGGGAGCCCTCAAGAGGCAACGAGAGGCCCCCATCACGCAGCTCCAGCCGATGCCACCACCAACGCTGCCGAGAAGCAAGAGGGAAGGACAGCTGTCCGAAGAGGGGAGTGGGACCTCCCCCTTGTTCGCCTACCCGTAGCGCCAAAGAAGTCGCCCTGCGCCGAGCCCCGTCCCTCATCAGCAAGATCCACGCGACGCTGAGGTGGTGGACCCGAACCCAGACTCCCACCCCACGGACAAAAACACTCGGGCCCGATGGGCTTGGGGGAAAGGCACGCCTCGGACTGTCCCCGCGCCTTTGACGAGGGCACCCCCGCAAACTGCAGGCCGAAGGTCGGAATTCGGCAGGTGGCCTCTGGGCCTTCGGCTGGCCCCTTCTCGGCTTGGATGCATCCGCCTCGAAATCCTCGTCGAGCAACTTTCTGAGGACACTGTGGGCGCCCCAGGAAAAGTCAGACTTTGAAGCGGAAGAGGAGGAGGATGGGGAGAGGAAAGGGACCTGGGGGAAAGAAGGGCGGCGGGCATTGGGGTGACTGGCAGCAGGAGGCAACGCCTGACAAAGGGTAGGGGGAGGAGGACGAGGACGCGGAAGGCGGAGGGGGCGGGGAGGACAGGCGGGGGGAGGAGGGAGAGGGAAGAGGAGGGGGGGGGAGGGGAGGGGAGAGAGGATACGGGGGGAGAGGGGAGGAGAGAGGAGCCGGACCTAGAATTGCGGGGCTTGGAATCTTGGCCCGAGAAAGCACGGCGACACTAATACGTAGATGGCGGGCTTTTCCCTTTTAGTAGATGTCTAGTACGCGCCAGCACGCAAGCCAAACGACGGGTTTGAGTCGGGAAGGTTCGGGCGATCGATCAACTCTGGCGGAGACGCAGGGCCGGAGGAAAGGGAACAACAACTGTCCACCCCAAGGAACATTCTCGACTCAGCAGGCCTACCCCGTCGCTGTCTGGCCTGACTGCGCGCGGCACGTGAGGCGGGCTCGCCCCTGTCGGGGAGCTCGCTCGGGCTCTTAGGGGCGGCACTGTGCACGGCCAGGGCCGCTGCCTGCTCGCACTTGAGTTTCGTGATCCCGTCCAAGAGCGCGATACATATATACATATATGCACACATACATACACCCATACCTTATTTATGTATATATATATATATATATAATAGGATCCAACATCGATCTCTAAAAAAACGCGCGATCCCTGTGAGACGATCTCCCCACGACGGTCTTTCTGCGCACGCCATCCCCATGCCAGGGCTTCTCCCGTGCGCGCCATCCCCGAGGTGGGGGATCGCGTCTCATAAGCGCCCCGTGCGGCGCCACATCGCACGCCTATCTTAGGCCATTCCGCACGCCAGACCGCCGTCTTGCCCCGCTTCTGGCTGGGCGGCCTCGGACGACGCCTCACGGACGGAGGCTCGCAGGGACGCCGCCTCCTTCCTGGCTGCCCGTGCCTCGCCGCTGGCGTCGCCAAGCTCGGGCACCAGGCGCGGTCGGGCTTGCGCTGCTCCGCCC